GCCTTATCAACAGGAACGTGCCTGAATACCCTTACTGGACACACAGAATGGGTCACTAAGGTGGGAATATTGATTTATAATTAATCTCACACATTTATTTCCACTAAATTTGTAACATGTTCTAAATTTTTATATCCTAATCCTGCATGTAGGTTTAGAATCTGAAGAACATCTGGAAATACTACAAAATAACATTTCAACAGAAAAAAAATTTAAGCTGTAATTAAACCTTTCAGACCATTGAAGGTATTTCAATTCCAAAGCAGCTGGGCTAATACTAGGAAGCAGTGTTTTGATTCAAAGACTGAATATAAACTGGTTCTGAAAGAAGAACGGCTTTAAAAGTTATGTAAAAAATCGGATGATCTTGATGACAAAAATCTGATCATGAAACAATATTTTTCCTCTGGTTATTTCAGAACTTGAAAGATGAGGGGTGTGACTGTACAGGTGAAGCATGTATGTTTGCTTATTAGTACAGTAAACTATCACTAGTAGGAGCAAGAGGAGTGTAGTTTTCCTTCAGTTGCTAAAAAGCATTTGTACTGCCTTTATTCATGGGTATACACTATGCAGGTGGTCAGTGAAATGAAAAATGCAAATGAAAATTTGTTTATTTAGCAGCATCAACATAAATCATTACTATCCTTCAATTACAGGTCGTTTTGCAGAAATGCAAAGTCAAATCTCTTATGCATAGTCCTGGGGATTATATTCTCCTAAGTGCAGATAAGTATGAAATCAAGGTATGTACCATATATCATGCATGTATTGTTTTGGTACATTGGGGAAAAAAAAGTTTGAGTGATTTGCTGTTTACAAACAATAGAAGGATTTAGTTTTTCCCCACATTTCCCACTTTAGAGGCTGCTTGCAGACCATGAAACTCTTTGGAAGCTAATTTTTCAATGCTTGCCTTAGCATTTAGTTTTAAATTATAGCTCTACAACAATGGTAATGCAAAGAATCTGTGCTTCCAGGTCATGTCAGTGAAGCAGGTAAATGGAAATTCTGTTACTGTTGGGGACTTCGGTGTTTGAAAGTACTGTAAGTTTGTGGCTATAGAAGTGCTTCATAACTGAAGCACTGTTACATTTCTGTCCCAGTTGGATGGTTGATTTCTTTTTTCTTTTTTTTTTCCCCATTCTTTAAAGTAACCATTTTTCACTGGGAATTTTTTAGGCTAGAAACAACATGTGCTGCACCAATACTCTGAGATAAGTCACTTGAAGAATTGATGTTTGTACATGAAACAGATAAATATTTCTGAAAAAAAACTCACGCACACATTTACCTGATGCTTAAAAAGAGACTGTGAGGCTTGCTCTATTTATATAACAGTTTATAATGTGAATTTTTTATGGGTTATAATGTGAATTTTTTATGGTCTTAAACTGTGTTTTAATTGTAGATTTGGCCTATTGGAAGGGAAATAAACTGCAAATGCTTAAGAACACTGTCTGTTTCTGAAGACCGCAGCATCTCCCTACAGCCCAGGCTGCACTTTGATGGTAAATACATAGTGTGCAGTTCAGCACTAGGATTATACCAGTGGGACTTTGCCAGCTATGATATTCTCAGGTAAACTGTTCAGTTTAGGATTCAGTCTTCATTAAATAAAAAAGAAGTAATTTACCAGTTTTAATAACTTACCTTAAATGTGGACCAAAAGAATCTTGAATAAAATCCTGTAAACATTTTGCTTTACACATATCGAGTGGTTTAATTCTAATTTTGTCATCTGATAATATGAATCATTTCATTGCTGTTTTGGTTTCTGGCCACATGCTAGTTCTCTTCCATATTTTCATTCTGTAAGCTGAAGTGTTTCTGTATAGACTTATACCAGACTGCAATACTGTAGTTGTGAATGTGGAGATGTAGTGATACAGAGCTAATGTTACCATGGAGACTGCTATACAGAGAACCAAGCAGGAATTTCTGGGGGTTCTTTGATGGGACAAGAAATTAAAAAGACTCTTTTTCCTTATAGCACTACTGATCTGTCACTCCTTCTAATGTTGTGGAATGACAGTGAAATCTTATCAGACTGCAATAAGTGACCAAACATGACGGCATCCCATTTCCACATAAAGAATCAGGCTGTATGAGTTGGAAATGGTGGCATCAAAGAGAGTAACTAACTAAAGAAAAAAAAAGCATTTTAGAACTTCTAGCAGACTTCTTAATTCAAATCGCCTGAATAATTGTGGATATTTGAAAGATCTCCAGAAGTGCTTCTTATGAGTAAGAGGTGAAATTACTCTGTTATTCTTAGTTTACCCTCCCATCTTTCAAAACAGAAAGATGGTCTCTTACTGCTGAGAGCAGATTTTCATCCCCACACATTTTTCTGCCTCAGTTCTTTATGTAATGGTATGATCAAACATGCAGGCAGTCGTGGAAGACTCAACTCTTCCGTTTCTGTTCCAAGTTTTATTTATTAAGGGGAGACATCATAAAGGTGTTGGGGAACTTTTGATTTCTCCCCATGGTTAATTTAACATAAAACATCAGTATAACAGCACTCTAAGGACCAGTCTTGGATGATTTATCTGACCTGCTTATCACAAGAAGGCATGTCTATGTTTTACTTCTGCCTTTTACAGGAGTGATCAAAAGAATATTAACAGCTTTTACCTCTTAGTGCAAAGATATTGAGGCATGAAATCCATATGGAAATTTACTGTTAAACACAAGTATATTTGCTCTTTCATTTGTATGTGGAAATGGCTGTTTTGTTTTTTTTTTCTTGTACTCTGGAGAATAATCCCTTTCAAACTTTAGCCTTCACTTATGTTCAGATGGGTCTGTCCTGAATGCATAAAGTCAGAAGTGAAACCACAGGCCTGACTGTGGCTAAGTGTTCAGTTGCTTATTTTGAAAGATTTGCATCCAGTTCTTTCTAAATTACTTCATAATGATTAATTTAGACACATTTTTGTAGACACACAGCATTTGCTTTAGTAATTCAAGCTCATGACAACATTGTAAGGGAGATTCTAACACTGTTTTCTTGTTTTCTAGGGTTATCAAACCTCCAGACTTCTCAAATGTGTCATTGCTGGGCTTTGGAGAGATATTTGCTCTACTGTTTGACAACAGATACCTGTATATAATGGACTTGAGGACAGAAAAACTGATAAGCCGCTGGCCTTTACCAGAATATAGAAAGTCAAAGAGAGGTTCAAGCTTCTTGGCTGGTGAAATGTCTTGGTTAAATGGACTAAATGGCCAAAATGATACGGGCTTGGTTTTTGCCACCAGTATGCCAGACCATAGTATCCATTTGGTGTTATGGAAAGAACATGGCTGAAAAGCTCAGCATACAGAATCTTCAGGAATTTATGGCCTATCAGCAGTGTGTCTATAAAATGAGACTTTGCATGAACCAAAGTTGCACATCCAATGGTATCATCATCATGCAATGCACAATCATTTACTTTTATGTGGGCATTTGGGAATGGGTTGTTTTGGAAATAATGCAATGCAGCATGCTAACAGTATTCACCACAAATTTTTGTCTATATTCATGTTTAAATATACCTATTTGGGCTCTGAAGTATAGCTTGTAATGTTTAAACCATTCAATCTACTACCAAGTCTGAAATCAAGTTGTGCTTGACCTGACTTCTGACCTTTTTTTTGTTGTTGAAACAGAAGGTGAAGCTACTGTTTCAACAACAGCTACTGAACCATAGGCTTTTGTACATCTAACAGCAAATACTGGTTGCAGTGCATGGCTGCTTAACAAAAATGAGAAAACAGCAAACCCTCTCTCTCTCTCCAGAATCTTTCTCTTCAAAATGTTTTTCTATATGATAGCTTTAAATACTTAGCCTTTGAAACAGAAGAATCAAACAAGTCCTTTAACAAATATTTGTCCACATTTTTGTGCTATTTGACATGTACTTAAAAGTTGTACTTACATCACATGCTTTAGAAATGCTTTAGGTTGACCTACCTTCCTTCCTGCCTTCCCTCCCTCCCGCCTTAATGTCATTTTTCTTTACACAACTTGAAAACATGAGTTTTCATGAAAATTGGTTCATGCCCTTGAAAAGACAAAAGTGTCTAGCGTTACTAGTGGGATTTTTTTCTTCCCACTATTCAAGGAGACCTGATTTCATACTTAATACTGAATGAAGGCCACAATTCCCAAATGTATGTGGTATGAATTACACCAGTGAAGGAGAATTCTCATATGCAAGAATCAGTATTTGAGTATGCTGTAGGAGTTGCTTAAAGTCACAGTGGAACAGTCTCTTAAATACAAGGCCAGACTCCTAAGCAGTCAGTTTTTCCACCTTTACTCACATCAATTTACATTGAAAAATGTTGTCTGTTCTCAAGGATTTTATCAACCAGAAGCCAAATTCACAACTCTTAATTCAAATTGCACTGTGTGGGGCATAAATGATGAGCTCACAAAAGTGAGCTTTTGTTATCTCACTCCTAAGTGAAGAAAGCTTCTGTGAGAAAGAATGTTTTCAGTAACTTAACTTCAATAATTTGTTTTGAAACCCAGTTCTCATCATTCTTATTGTGGGAGTAACATAACAGTATCATTATGATGTGTGCTTCTGAAGGAACCACCTATGCAGCACTGCGTTAACTTTGAAAGATTAAATTGAGGCGTGCCAGCCAGAAATGTCCTTGTTTCCAAATCAGCAAATTAGAAAAACTTGGTTAACTACTTCTTTTAGTGACCTTGATTATACAGAGTGGTGGAGTGCAAGATGGCTGAGAAACAGACCTAAGCTGAGCCCTCTAGATGGGAAAGTGGTGGGCATGGGATGGGGAGGCACCGCTATTGTCTCCAGCTAACTAGTAAACTATAAAGAAAACTGTGTCAGACTGATTTTGGCATCTTGCAGCAAGACAACGGTCAATGGTTCTTGTGACAAGAGGAATTCTCCACAGTGAGTTTAGTTTAAGACTGAAACAGGTTGCCTAGCCTTCCTAGACAAAGCCCTGTGCAACTCCCTGTAAGCGGAGTTGGGACTTTCAGATGCCCCTTCTAAACAACGAGTCCGAAATTCTAAATGGACCTGTTGCCACACAAGATTGTAAGACTGATAGCAGCAGGCATCTCATATCCTAATACACCTGCCAGTTTGTTGATAAAGACTGGGAGATGCTGCAGTCGAAGTTGAAGTTCCCTTTGGACATTGCTAATGATACTATTCCACTAATAACACAGCTCTTTAAGGGCACAGGTATGTGCCACTACCAAGTAGATAAAGGAATGACAGCATGAAACAAACTAAAGTAGAAATTTTAAAGAACATACTTGCTCTCATACACTTCTCTCTGTCTGACACCAGTGTCAGGCTATTGCTGCCTTCAGAAGTGCCTTCAGTAGGAAGGTATGAGTACATTGCCACAACACATGCAATGCATGTAGTTCTGGGGGCTTATCAAACAGAAACTGAAACTGTGAAACTGAAACTGTGAAACAGAAGTGAGCAAATGGCTTTTCTGTTTGGTTTCCACCTAGCCCTTCAGCAAAAGTCACTACTTAGCACTATTTCCAGACAGAGGCTGGAAAAAAATGCAGCTTCTATACCCTTACACCTACTAAGGAAGCAATATAAATCAACTTGCCTATCACATAAAGGACTAAAATCCAACTTGTGTCTAAATTTCATGTAACATTTTCTAATGAGGCTTCAAGGTGCCAGAAAAAAAAACCCAACAAAATATTACATTTCATAAAAGTTGTTTGGCCATCTATTTTTTCCTCCTTGAAATAGGTTCTTTTTGGTTCATAAAAGTATCTTTTTCATTAAGATGAATCTCTGTCCCTTTCCTCTATTAAAGATTTCCAACACAACTCAGCACTTACCACTTTAGTAATTCAGAACAGGTGCAATCACTCTTCTCAAAATTACATGTCTCCAAAGCCCAGTAGAACAAGACATTTTTTATCAGCAAAACTCCAACTGCTGTGTTTGGCATTACAATCCATCACATCTTTAACATACACTATTTCCAAGAATATAAGGGGTAGTTTTTTTACAACTGAAAGGAAAATTGTACTCAATTACTTGTCTACTTTTTACTCAAATTGATGCATACAAATTTAGTACCCAGTGACATACTGCAAGAATTAAGCAATGCTACCTTTAATACTAGTGATTGTATTTATACTTTCTGTACAAATACAGAAAGGTATTGCATTATTTGAATCACTTGACAAATACTGATTTTTATTATTAACTGAAAACAAACTGTACATTTCACAGAAGAGATACTGCAATCTGCATTGACCCTTGGTATCATTAAATGATTCATGGCTTTGCTATAGATTCCCTAAATAACTGCAGAAAAATGTAGACTCCATGTGAAAATCAATGTCATGTAATTTTTAAATTATATCTGTCTTCCCACAATACAGGTAGCCCTCCACTTTCACTCCTTATAACTGAGTTTTCAATTTTGAGTTTGCAGCATGGTTTGAGATAGAACCTTGTTAACATTCATGATTAATGATGAGTTATATCTCCACAGTGTTGTATCCCTGATGAGAGATTCACTGGGAAGGTTTCCTTGAAGGGCCTTCCTACAGTGATAAATGAGGGCAACATCCATGGGAACATTCACACTCTTCCCATAAGCACGTAGGACAGAATGGACTGAAGTCTGAATCACCTTTCGTGGATCAACTATCATTTTCCTGGGATTGATTACATCTTTCCTATCAGGCTCTCTGTATACATGCTGTAATATGTTAACACCTGGCACAGTATTCCAAGATGAAATGTTGAACATGCGAGAAGATACAGTTTCTGGGAAGATATGGTTCTCAAAGAGGAAAACACTAGTCCCTGGGTTTTGCTCCTGAAGACTGTTCATCATTGTTTTCCAGTCTGGGTGCTTAAGGGGAAGAATTATTTCATCAGCATCATTAAGGACCACAAACTTGCTCTTTTCCATGTTACGGTATATACAGTCATTTAGAGCCGTGATTTGTCCATAGTAGCCAATGTGTGTCCCGTCTTGCATGTAGCGCCAATCAGAAGAAACCCTGAGGTGTGAGTTTATTGGCCAGGGAATTACCTCAACAGTTCCTTCTTCTATATAAAACTTCAAGACTTTCTCCATCAGATGGCTGCAGTTGTTCTTATAGATCACCACTTTCTGTACTCCAAGAATCTTATACATTTCCATACTCTGTATAAACTGCAAGACATTGTTGTAGTTTCCAAACATGGCAGAAATGCACACGGTGAAGTCAACAGAAAAGGTCTCAGGCTTGCGATTTTTAATTTCAAACCTCGGCAGCTGGTCAATATTTCCATATGGAGACTGATGAATTGATACATGTGTTGGATCACAGTTTTTAGGTTCTAAACAAACTATATCTGTTGCACCGTAAGGGAATCCAAATCTGTCTGAGTGAACATCAATTTTTGCTTTTGATACATATATCTTTCCATTGGCCTGACAGCAGAACCAGCAGTACAGTTGTTTTACATCTTCATGGTGAACAATCCCAATCAGACGAGTGACTTTGCTTTCTCTGTCATCAAAGTATGGGGATATAATAAAAGTTTTGTTACCTTCTAATGCTGTTATTGTGCTAATGGCAATTTTCCCTCTACATCTTCTACCTTCTTGAATTACTTTTGGCTGATGAGAAAGTCTCTGTAACTTCAGATAAGAAACTGCAAGCATTGAAGTTACAGTCATAATGCACACAGCAGCAGCAAAGTAAGATTTTTTCCCAGCACACAACATTTTGAACGTGTCTAAATGTCGATGCAAATTTCGTTGTACTTTATGCTGCCTTATCTGCAGAAAAGAAAAGGCTGTATGAGATAATACTGACCCACAACCATTGCTCAAGAATTTCACAAACAAGATGGGGGTAAGTCTCTATCATAGTGCACTGACTTACTCAGAGAGCCAGCTACTGTGTTTTTATAAAAAACCAGTCAGACAACACGCATGCCTCTATTTGTCAGATGTGTGGAGCAGTTTCTCTACATGGAGGGTTCTGTAGAAGAATATAACAGAGGTCTACATACAGCAATACAATTAGTATTTTTTTTTCAAGAAACCAAATTTTAGAATATCCAATTTAATAACTAGGCAGTAATTCTTAAAGCAAAGCAAAACTTTTCGTTTTTTCCACCTACACAGTATGTATGTAAATTATGTTTAAAAAAAACAAACTCAACCAGACTTCTCACAGACAAGAATTAATCAAGTTCATAATAAATATGCTAATTGGGGATTACACATGATGATCCAGATATAATCACTAATTTATGAACTCCCTCACTTTCAGATCACCACAGATGAGACCATACACACAGAGGAAAGTCAATTCATACAATCCAGCAAAGGCAGGTGAACTCAATACAGGTATAAAACTCAAGTTTGCCACTCTACCCTACGTAACCCTGTACGAGGCAGGAGCTGCAGGAAAGGTCATCTCAATACTTACTAGAGATCTGGGCCTCTTCACACTGGATCAATGCTGTCTCAGCTCCTGGCATGATTTGGGGGTGAGGACTTAAACTCTTGCTGCTGCAGGCACAGGTAGGCAGTCCTGAGTGACTGGATAACTGAAGTCTTCAGCAGCATTTGTGCTAGCAAGTGCTAATGCCTCAGTGGGAGTTTATGGCACTCTCAAGCACTATTTCTGCAAGTGGACCCTAGATAAAAGTTCTCTACAAACTCATCTTTAGGTACTCAGATATGATCCATAAACAGAAAAGTGGCAGCAAGTCTCCTCAAAGGCCTGCTTGTACCACAGAGATTCTTGGGAAAAAAGGTGTCCCAGATTAATTAAATTCATGTCAGATCAGAAAACTGCATTGGTAGAAGAGAGTCTCCCCAAGTGCCAGCAGGAAGTGTGGAGTAAAATGCTGGGAAGGAATGAACTGATGCTATTGCATAAGACGACAAAAATGTTTCTAGCAGGCGAGAAAGAACTGCCTGTGCCCTCAAAATAATGTACCATATTTTCACAATTGCTATTTCATGAAAAAGTGAACTAGGAAGAACCACAGTCCTGAAAATGTCCCATACACCAAGGCTGAAGTGATTTGCAGCAGCCTTTGACAGCTACCAAGAAATTGCTTTTCGGAAGAGAATAGTCATAGGGGCACTGAAAATCTCACTACATCACACCAGGCACTAAGCAGAAAAGAAACAGCAGAAAGCACTGACACTTCTATCTCTGAAATGGAGACAGTATCCCCATAAAGCCTTAAAATTGACAGCAGAACAGCAAATACATACTAAGAATCTGCTATTGCCATACGACTTCCAGCTGGAGATTTGTGACTGAAAACAACTCAAACATTTTAAGTCTTTTTATGATACATTCTGAAGTACACGTATCCCCCAAGCATTCTTATTCCAAGGTTGTTATATATTTTAGTGTTTTTACAAAGAGAATGTCACATTTAACATTCTTCCCCTTGGTTTCATCTATTTATGACTTAAAATATTGATCTATCTTACAGAATAACTATTTTTTAATTAAAGAAATATCAAAACACGTCAACAGCAAATAACAAAATACATGTATTACCTGTTCTTCCTTCTCCTTTTTCTAGCAATAAATAACTAACAAGAAAAAAATATAACTTTTCAATTGCATTTTGAACAGCGAACACGGGAAAGGAAAAAGTACCTTTTACAGTAGATAGCAGAGTGGGGCTCTGTTTAGTCCTCCCTTCATTTTTTTTGCTAAGTTATTTTGCTAAAATAATCTACTAATTGTTTATTTTAAACAGATAAAAGCTTAAATACTTTTAAGGTAAATTGCAGTAATTGTTCAATACAGAACAATACTGTGAGGAGAAAAACTGATACAATACCTAAGATACTTCCTGGCACATTTTATTTCACATAGCTGTTGCTCTTTTAATGTCAGTAACAGCCACACCTACCAGAAAAACAAGTTTTCCTTCTCTTGAGCAAAGTACACACAGTTGTGTTGCAAGAACTTAATGCAAGTTACAAATGAGTATGGAGTTGTTGAAGAAAATCAAACATTTTTCATGGATTTTTTAAGGCTACTTAAGTTTTCCTCTGAAAATTAATCTCACATTTTGATATAAACCCAGTTCACACACATACTTTAAAAAAACTAGAAAAATAGACTATATATATATCTGCATTTCTTGGACAAATATTTTTTTCGTAACATGTTATAAGGCCTAGTTAGAACATGTAGATACAAATTCTGATTAGGAACTGTGACAGTGCTGAAACAACAATGAGTTCTAGAAGCCAAGAAAAAGAGCAAAATCAAGAGCTCAAAGACACATCAGAGCACTGACTCTTAAAGAAAAGAAATATGTAGTTATTTGATGAATGAAATTCATGGTTTCCTCAACACAACTCATTAATTTTGCTCTCCTGAAATAAACAGCACAAATATGCAGTCATAAAATACATGAAATCAGTGTAATTAAGAACATTACATTTATATTTCCTCACTCTAGAAAGGGTAAAATGGCAAGTTTTAACTTTAAAAGTATGCTTTCAGTATATTTAAATGCTCTTCGTTTATAGTAACAATTAATTTAGATTTTGCATTTTTTAATTCCAATTACTATACAAGTAAGCATGACAAATTATGCAGATTTGCTTTAATACTAAATTTACCTAATGGTATCAATGGCTTCTTTGCAGCATTCCACTTAACTGTAAACAGACTTTCTTCCGCCCCACCACCCTGCAGTAGTATTTATTACCTCCTCATCTTCATATTCATTACCTTTTCATTCAACAAAATTGTTGGCTTGGGTTGGACAGGACTTTAAAATATCTAGTCCCAATCCCTTTGCTGTAGGTGAAATCTTTCACTAGATTGAGCTGCCCAAATTCATCATGTTTCTCCTTATTTTGTTGGTCACAGTCCTGCTAAAATTTACTCTAAAACCTTGCATGGGATCAAGAACACACTTAAAAACTTTCATATATTTAAATCATCTTTATTTCCCCATCCTAAACCAAGCAATCACTCATGCTCTAGCCACACTGTACCACTATGCTCACAACACATTTATTAATCTCCCATTACAGGTTCTTCCAATAGCTTGTCTTTTTAGAATTTTGAAATTTTTTTTTTTTTGTATCGCCTTCAAATTGCATGTTGCCATTACCTTTGCTGTCCAACTTCTATTTTCAGACCTTCTTTTCCAACATCTTTCTAAAACCCTCACAACTAGCACTGTCCTTACTGAAAGCTGGTACCAATTGCTAATTTAGTTCAAAAATAATTTCTGAGAAATAATTAATCTCCCTCACATGCTCTATGCATTATGGCCTTCCTTTGTAATTTGTTTTGTTCACATGGCTGACAACTATTTATGCTGCTCATTTCAATATCTTGACAATGTCTACATTGCATTAAGTTTTTCATAACTCTCATCTTATTACTTTATCTTCCAATCTAGGGTAAGGATAGAGGGCAAGTGACAAGAGGTGACTGCAGAGTCTGAGTTGTTAATATGAAGTATTAGCTTTAGCAGTACAAGAACAATAAACAACAATCCGGGGTCCAATTAAAAATCCCCCACCAGAAAAACAGGCTTACAAAACTTACCATTTTTGAAAAAATGTTATTCGCTATCCTTTAGTTTATGATTTTTGTCAAAGGCAAAACCACAGATCACTGTGTTATTAACACAGTGTTAATATTAACAAATATGAACAATAATTTACCATCTTTATCTCAACTGCCTGTTGTTAATCTTTTGATAGCTTACTTTTTTAGAAAGGTTCTTTGACACACCAGGTGTCCTTCCTCTTTTATAAGATCCAAAGTCCGAAGCATATTGTTTGAAGGATTAAACTGAAGGCGGTATTTTTCCACTAATAAAATACTACTCTAAAAAATTAGTATCTATTTTTATTCTAAATACAAAGACACTAAACCAGAACAATATACAGTGTTGCCATGCAACTGTCAATATACAGTTGTTTTACTTATTTTCTGCCATTAGAACCGACAAACCCCACACTTCCTGTATACACTCAGGAACTTCTCCATTATAATCTGCTTACATCCGTAAGCCAAACTCCTCCTATTGTAAACATTTAAACTTTATGTCCTTTGAAAATCAAACAGATTGGGCAAAACAAAAACTGCATGACATTTAAAAGACTGTTATTTCAAATTTTTTCTTTCACACTCTACTTTTTTAGCTGGGGCAGAGTTAATTTTCTTCCTAGTTGCTAGCAGGGTGCTGTGTTTTGTGACCAAAGCAAGTGCCTCAAACACACTGATGTTTAGCTACCACTGAACAGTACTTACGCAGAGTCAAGGCCATCTCTGCTTCTCCTGTGGCTCCTGTCCCAGGAGTTGGATGGCACAAGAAGTTTGCATGGAACACAGCTGGGACTTCTGAACCAACCAACCAAAGGCCTATTCCACACCGTATGATGCCATGCTCCACCATCTAAGCTGGGGGTAGAAGGAGAAAGGGGGAAACACACGACATGACGGCACAGGGCTTCCCGAGTCACTGCTAAACCGGATGAAGTCCTGCTTTCCTGGAAATGGCTAGAAACGTGCCTGCTAAGAGGACACAATGGAGAGATTACACATTCTGTTTTACATGCTGCTTTGCTTTACCCTTTACCCTGTCTTTATCTCAGGGGAAACCCACAGGATTTCCCACGTCTGCCTTTCTGATTCTATCCCCATCCCACTGCAAGGGAAGGGTGAGCCTTGAGCTGCGTGCCCATATTAAGTCACAACACACACTGGAACTATGCTTTGGAGGAGTTTTGTATTCTTCAAATCTAAAGTTAACCTCCACCCTCAGTACGAATTCAGACAGAGACTCAGAAAACCTGGTTTGGACAATTAATAGGTACCTTTAACTTACCGTTAAGCGGTTAACTCCACTAGTGAAAAATAATGCTACAGCTGATCACCATCCTCCTATTTCTTGAGTGGAAATAAAATGCCGAATCTGTCGCGCCTCTCCCGCGAGCGCTGCCAGTCAAAGGGCGCCGAGCAGGCGCCGCTGCCGGACCTGCACCGGGGCGCCGGCAGGTTCACCGCGCTCGCACGGAGCCGGCAGCGCGCCCGCTTCCCGTCCGGCGGGACCGCCCTTCCCCGCGCGGGGCGTGGGCAGAGGCGCCGCGGAGCCCCGTCGCGACAGCCGTGCGGAGGTGGCTCGGCTCTGCCGGAGCCCTCGCGTCTCGTACCTGGCTCCCTCTGCGGTACCGACAGCAGCAACCGCAACACGCCTCTGCGGCCCGGGGCTGGTGGGAGCGCTCCGTCCCCTCACCTCTCGCTCCGGAAGGCGGCGGCGGCTGTGGCCGCGGAGACCCCTCGGCCCCCGCCCCGGCCGTACCTCAAGCAGAGCCCCCGCCCGGCGTGGTCCGGGTGGGGCAGTTCGCCCTTGGGGCGGCTGCTCGTCGCTTCGAACCGCGGTGGCGCCTCCGCGGCTTGCTGTGCACGGCGAGCGGCCCCGCCGGAGCGCGGCTCCAGGGGCCTCGGACGGAGGGACCCCCAGCGGGGCGGGGGCGGCCTTCCCCACCACGCCCCCGGCCTCTCCCGCCGCTCTCCCGGGTTCCCTGAGGCATTGGTGAAGGAGGCCCCATGTAAGACCGCGAACGGGGCAGCGCGGCGGCCCCTGGACGCTAACGCGCGCCAGCTGCGGGGCCGTCGGTCCGTGCCGGCGGCGCATTTTGGCGAGCAGAGCCTGCCCATCCCGGCCGCAGATCCGGACGCCAACGGCTCCGGAGCGCTGATTACTCAGGTCCGCGTGCTGTGCCCCGGGAGGAACGCTCCCACACACCACATCCTGGAAAGGAACGGCATAGACGGCACAAGTGCAAAAGAAGAACATCATCAGTTGGTGCACTCTTCTCGAGGAGGTCTCCGGATTCGACCCCGACGCCTGTCAAATGAACTTGTGTAAAATGGAGAAACACAAAGTAGCCATTATATTTTCAAAATGCACGTCAATTTTTTAAAAGTACAGGGAAATTGATAATTACACAATGATAAAAATCCAGTAGCTTACTGGAGTCCTGTCTGCTTTTAGAAATAGATGTACCAGCTGAATCATTTCTACAATAAAATACAAGGTTGGCATTCCTAGGAGTTCTGTGGTGGGATTTTCTTTTCTAGTGCCAAAGGCCATAAGGCCACAGACCTTTGTTCCAGTTATAGAGATCTCACACATAGAGTGTCTTTATTTCTGGGGAGAACACAGGAATAAAATGCTTATTACAATGAAATGCTTTAAATTTCATTATTACATTTAAAATTGTAGCATACCCAACACAGCTCTCTTTCAGAGCCAAAGCTGTGTATCTCCCAATGGATGTATCCTTGATGAGAGGTATGTCACACCAGTTTCCTGCAAAGACATGTAAATGGTGCTATTAGGCGCTTCCCAACCATCTGCAAATACCTGTAGAAAACAGCAGACTGAGGCCTCAACCACCCTATGTGGACCAAATAATTTTTTCCAATTTGAAAGAATAGCTTTCCTGGATACATTGATCCAGTTCACAACAGGTTCACATCTTTCCTACCAAGGGCTTGAGACCTGGATGAAGCATTCCACGTGGGGTCCCACAAGAGCTGAGTGGAGCGCGGGGCAGAATCACCTCTGTCACCTGCTGCCCACACTGCTTTTGATGCAGCCCAGGACACATGGCCAGGACATGGCCAGCACCCCCAAGTCCTTCTCACCAGAGTTTCTCTTGATCTTTTCATTAGAATTGTGTCAGCCCAAGCCACTCATCAAGCTTGTCCAGACCCCAGTCTTCAGGTGTGGCAACTGTATCACTCAGTTTGGTGTCATCTGCAAACCTGCTGTGTTAAATTTAAAGTGCAAAGAAATTTAAGTTTGTCTCTACTTCTTTGGACTTTCAAAATTCACTTGAAAAAGCTGAAAATTTGGAGGCTTTTTCAATTTTATCCTAGAAAGATTGATTCTGTTGTTTTATACTACTAAATGGCTAGACTCTGTGCTCCATAAAGTCTGTTCAATTATGTTACCATTCATTCACAAATAAAACATGCAATGCTGCCTTTGAGCTAAAACATTCCTTCTGTACCTCTACTATTCTTTTTCAGAGTATTTTATTGTCAACAGCATACATACCCTGCACATTTTTAAACTTACCACCAAATGCTATTACTGTTGTAGTAAACAAACTTTTTTTACATTAAAGTATTTAATTAGCAAAACAATCATTATTATCAATGTAACAAACTGAAAAATGCAGCAACTCGATACAAGACTGAGGTAACAAAATACTTTGCCAAAAACCTAGATTCCAACACCAGAGTTCTTACAGGTGAGACAGTTCACAAGAATTATAGAAAGAATCCTTTACACAAATGGCATGCAGTGGACTGCTGGAAAACACAGCCAAAAATAGTGCAACAGTTTCCACACAAAACAAACCAAAATTTTGAAACTGATTAACATTATAGTGTGACAAATCAGTCTCACTTTGAAAACTAGTTTCTTTGCCTCATTTTAGTGCTATTTGGAAAAACATGCATTTTGGCACTGAATTACATAAAAACTAATTAAATAAATAAATAAAAATAAATAATGGATAATTAAATAATAAAAATTAAAAATTAATTAGATTAATTAAATAACACATTAAATAAAACTAATAATATCACCTACAGTTATTATATCTTCACAATTCTAAAAATGGCAATTATGATATAATGTTTACTTTTACGTAACTATTGTAGTTGTTCTCTTTGATGGAGGAAAACTTGTATGGCTTGTGATTTTTTTTTTGTGGATATGCTGTAACAATCAGTAGTGACAGGCAACCTATTGTATTTCAATAGCAGCTTTCAATTAACCATAGAACTACCTGGTAATAGTAAATGGTACCAAATGGCATCATTACACCTGTAATCAGCAGCTACAACTGTTTAATACTTAAAGACCAATTTAAAATTGGTTTAAGATGTTTTACTAGTATTCTTTCACTGCCATCAATCTGAATTTCTCAATACTCTGCAGCAATTTCACAATTGTGCTATACAGAAAAGATGTTTAATCTCATTGATGACTAATCACAAAAATCCACAGGTGCAGAATAATGCAGACTATATCATAGCCTAACAGTCTGAAGTCATTCACTGCTGAGAGGATGTTACCACATTCAAAAGCTTCTACACCATCTCTAATGGCGTTCGATGCTCTGCCCTTGCAGATAACCATGTTTTTTCTAGTTCCAAGTTAAGTTAGCAAAGAAAGAGAAAAACGATACAAATATATATTTTAATTACCACTCTTTTCACACAGTTCCTCAGTTATCAAACAAATTTTATCAACTTTACATACACTTTCTCATGTCCCAGGATCTAAATGCAATTGTCGTCAGGAACTGTTTTTCTTGAAAACCTGGTATGTATTAGGCTTTCAGGATTGTAACATGAACTCTTAAAAGAACAATAAATTTACTTTTGACCTACATTTAACAATACAGTTGGTTTTTTCTCCTTAAGTTTCAAAATTAAAACATAAAAAATCATGGAAGTCCACAGAATACATACTGCTAATGCCAGGGAGCTTGTTCTAGTAGAGGTTCTGTTCACTTAAACTGACTTTCATGGTGTTCCTGGTTTGTAAGTTAGGGGCTGGCTTGCTAATTTCTCCTCTACGCAATCTTAGGAAAGTCAGAAGAGGTTCTCTGGTGATTGATGAAGTCTGAATAATGATGCTATATGGCAAGAGAGTTTCAAAAAGAAAAAGTGATGAATTTAACAAATGAACAGAAAATGATTCTGATTGCAGGAGTGCCAGGGTACAGCAGGAATACAGCACAGAGAGAGCTCCTTCAGAGAAGACCCAGTTACATTTCTTTTGTTTGTTCGTTTATTCTCTGGATATAGATGTGGAGACTTCTTTGTACTTGCTCCACTGTTAAGACAGTCTTTCCCTGCCACCACGATTTTATAATAGCAGTACCATCGACCAGTACTAATGTCCTGAAGTCACAACACATACTGGAATTAAGTGGAGCCAAGTCATCCACAGAAGGACAGAACAGAAACAATGATATGGAGTCATTCTGAGGAGCCAGGACCATGTGATATAAAACACATGATTACCTGCTTCCCTGTGCTAAGGGATTTGAAATGAACAACCAAACACCAAATTTATAAGCAACTATGCCACTGGTAAAAGAATGAAAGACAAACTTCAACACAACATAAATTTAAACATCCTTAAATCTATTACCAGTGTATTCCTGAGCAAAATAACTGAATGAAAAAGAAAACCAACTGTCCTATGCCAAAACACTTTTTTCCCAAATAGCTCAAATATGAACAGCATATTGTCCAGAGATTTGATAGAAAATTTGAGGCAGCCACATTGCTAAGCAACTCAGTGCACTTAGATTATAAAAATGTTGTTCCACAATTTTCTATTCTAATTGACACTTTGGAGCAAGTTAACACTGTCAATCATTCTGTGCATTAGAAAGAATTGAAACCCAACATGGGCCAAATATTCTTCAGTCACACAAAGCAGCTTAACAATAAAAAGAACCATTTGAAAAAGAACAGGCAGAAGATATAATGCTCGGTTTGCGGCCAAACACCATTTCATGCAGTCTCTGACCACAAATAGTTGAGGGCTCTAGAATCCTGCAGGAGTCAGGATTAATCTTCTGTCCATCTAACTTGTCTGCTTTCACTCAGTGCATGAGACTTTATCTGGTCCTAGGGATAACATTCACTTTCTGCTTTTAAAAGCTGTGTCAAAATCACTTTCAAGTTACATAGGAAAGTGCTGAAATATCTGTGGCTGGCTCATGTCAGGAAAACCATTCTCCTCTTCCTCCTTAGAGAACAATAACCTGTTTCTTCAGTTTGGCACTTGAAGTCACACCAGGTAGGAGAGGAAATTATTCGAATGACATTAGATTAGCAGGTACCTGGAAGAGATTGTAAATTACTCACAGAATCATTACATTAGGGAAAGATCTCTAAGATCATTGAGTCCATCCCAGTATGTTTGCTTTCATTTTCCATGCAACAGTCCCTTCTAAAGAAGAGATGAGGTTATCTTGCTTGAAGCAACTGAGAGTAGAGGTTATATGCTCTTAAGGTAACCAACCAAGCTAGACCTGCACAAAACCTGCTTTGATGGGAATTCTCTAATTTTAAATAATCTTTCTTTCTCCTATTGAAAAATTGGATCAGTGTACAGAATGAGGAATTATGTCTGTCCTGACAGAAATGCGTATGCACACAGATTGAAAGAGCTTTCCTAGTAAGGATTCTCTGGAATATTGGAAAAAGAAATAGGTAGAAATAGTTTTCATAACCTTACCTGAGGCTTGTTGCTTTTGCAGGCATCATCCAGATGTTTATGCCATAATATTGCATGAAACCTTGAACCAGTCTGAAACTTGTAAACATTGCCTACAAAAACAAGAAAATGAAAGACTTAGAATTTGCAGACAGACATGTAGCTTCAAAGGACTCTGATTTCTGTGCAGAAGCCAAAGTCCTGAAGTAAACTCTTACAGTAATTTGCACCTCAAATGCTCAAACGTGATGCTGCTAATATAACAGAGCCCACGTTATATACGTTATATACGTATAAGATGCTGCTAATATAACAGAGCCCACGTGAGGCATCTTCCCCAGCAGTTCTTGGGTGAAGCAAGTATGAGAACGTATGTGGCCTCACAGGCAGAAAGGCTGAATTACAGCCACAGAAAAGACCATGTAGGTCGGTGTGCGGCAAGAAAACAAAGAACACTTAGTAATAAGAGAACAAAGCCCGCTTGGTTAAGAAGAACCAGAACTACTCAGTCAAGGCAGGACAGATGTAACAAAGTTTCTAAAATGTAACAGACAGCAGAACCTCAGTAGTTGGCAGAAAAAAAACTGTTATATAAGCACTGGATTTAAAGAAAAAAGGCT